ATAACACTATCAAGGATGGCCTAATAGGATGTGACAGACATCCACAGGTACTATGTCACACCACACTTAACTGATGGAATTGATCCCTAATATAAAAAGTCCACGAGGCATCTTTTTGTCAATGCCGATCTTACTCCTCTTCTTCAGACAAGTCAATAAATATGGTTGGACATGCTTTTGAGTGGCGAGACTTAATTTATCCACTATTTGTTTAGACGTGCCACATTTTCACAGCTGACTCCATCTTTAATGAGGACATATATTTTTCCTTACACAATATAACGGGTATGACAAATGTTGTGGCGAACCCACAATTACTCTCTCTTGTTCTCAATTTGAAGGATTCATTGGATCTCTAGCATCTTTTTCACATCGTTTGGAAGCTAATGCTTTTCGTTTATGTCCTCACCTTTTCTTATTATCTCTTATGTCACTATTTAAGTTTTCAATTGCTCCATATTTAGAGAAAAAACCAGCCTCCTATTTGGGCAATTAGACACGATGTGCCCAAAAACTTGAAGCACTTCTTGATTGAAATGGATTTCGGGGGTGTTAATGGTCCACTATGAATTGGTTTTTTCTCAATTAGGGTCAACTTGAGCGCTCCACTTGGTGTACTCTTATTGCTGGATTTGATGGAAACTTTATTTGAAGCGCGGTGTTGACCTGATACTATTGTGTTCTCTCCATCTCCAAGGCTAAGATGCATACATCTTAGAATGTCAAATAAAGCTGTATCTATACCATATTACCAATTGATGGCCTCGATCCCCCCCATATATTGAGCAAAGGTGTTCTTCTCGGGCTCCACTAGCTCACATTTCAATATAACTTGATCGAACTTACTTGTATACTTGTTCATTGAGAAATCTTGCTGAAGTAAATGAATTCTTAAGAACACGTCCTATCTGTATTGTGTTGGTAGGTATTTGCACAACACTTCCTTTTTATCTTGGATTAGGTTATGATTTTGCTTCCTTCTTTCCTCTCATTGGCACAGGTGTTTCAAAATTTTTCACAATAGATATGCTATCTTTTTTGGCTCGATGGTGGCTAGGTTTACCCCTTCTACTAGGTGAAACACCCTTATATTCAAATAATCATTTCACTATTTGGAGCCACTTCATGAACTTGATCAGATCCATACGACCATCAAAATGAGTAAATTTTACCTTTACTCTAAGTTTCTGACTTTTCAGATATTTCATGTCACATCATTGGGTTGTTGGTTCTTCATTATTAGAAACTTCCTAATAGAACGAATTCACTTTCAATCTCAATTTGGTAAGTCTCCATTGTGGATATGAGTGACCTCATTTGATTGTTTCCTCTCAAAGCCAACAATCCCCTATTATAGCTGGAGAATTTTTCACTATATATCATTTATAATAATAAACTTTTGAAGACTTTGTTAAGGGTATATTCTTGACGATATGACATCCTTTCTCTCGATTAAGTTTTCGACAAATATAAGATTTAAAATCAAAGCCTGGAAGAATGCTTAGATTTTGGGGTAAGGCGTGAAAGTGAAATTCCAGTTGAGGTAGAAATGCTTGGTTTTGAAAATTTTAGATTTTGGGCTGAAAATTATTATAGGAATTGATAGGGTATTGAGTTTGTCAATGATTTATGATATGTAAAATTTTGGGTTGGCGTAGGAACAAAAAATCCCTAAAAATACAGGTTTTCTAGGCTCTGATACCGGATGATACTGTTCTAGGGTTTCTAAAAGGTGTTTAGGAAGCGGGGTTTGTTGGGAGGTGATTGTGCGATAACTAGGGGATGATAATATTGGTGATCGATAATGTTTGGAGGAGAATAAATGGTGTTTGCCGGCTGTCCCAGCTGAAAACAACATAGAAAACTCTTAAATGATGATGTACGGAAAAGGAGGAAATTCCACCACCTGTTCTTAAGCATGATCCATATGCTCCACTTGCAAAAGAAAATGATACAACGCTTTGAAGAACATGAAATATATAACTTCTCCAAACATAATAACAAGAGCAAAAACCTCCAAAACAATAAAAGAAATAAATATAAATAGTACCCCTGGAAAACAACCTAATTAGAAACTAGAGAAATAGATAAGAATCATAAAAGGAAGAAGAAAAAGTAAAGAAACTTGCTAAAATTGAAGAAAAGGAAATAAAAATAAATAAAAAGGAAACCGGCGTGGGACTCCCATGTCCGCGAAACTAATCGAGATCCCGCGTGTTCCATAATACTAAGTAAACAGGTGTGACGTATGTGTCACTATGCACATTCAATTTGAAAGATTTCATTATTTGCTTCATTTTATGGATTTATATATTATTTGATATTTTCTTGAAATACCTTAAAAGTTTACAAAACATGTTGCATCATTTTGAAGTCCTAAAAATATCGAAGTAATAAAAAAAAAAGTTAAGCTCTAGAACTCGGCCTCCCCTTCGTAATGAGATCTACAATGGGAGAGATGTTTTCTATTTTGATGTCTTAAAGATAAATGTCCCTATGACTAAGAAACTTCTGACATAATATGAGAACCATTCACATAAGACAAAATCGTCTCTAAAATGGTTGGATGAAGGAATTCAAACAAGCCTTGGATTGACTATGCATAAATGCTCAATTTTTTCTTAATCAAAGATGAAAAAAATGTAATTAGACTGCTTTGAAAAATCAACTTTTTTTCATTTTAAGATAATGTCGAATTGCTTATCAAGTTGGACTTTTTAAATGAGTAAAAGAGAACAATTTCTTAAATCAATATTTTTTTGTTAGTTTGCTACTTGGATCATTTTGACATTCTCATAATCTACTTCAATTGAGAATACTTTTTCCTTATCATAAAATAAGTTATATTCAACCTAATGTTCACAAGTTGACACAATGCATCTACGAATAAGATAATTCTATTTTGATACTTCTCAAAAACATGCATACACATAATCTTCAAAATTTGCATGTTTATTAATATTATCAATTTCATTTAAACTCATCGGAGACGGAAATGAATTTTTTGCTTAATTATGTTATAGTGTCTCCTCAATGACCCCCTTTTTCTTGGTCTCACTTTCATTTTATGTAATTTAATCATAAGTTTAAAATATAAATTTAGTTTTGCTAGGTGTTTCCCATTACCAATCTCTTTAGCCACATTAATCATCTTCTTGATAGTGATATGCCAATAATCCAAAAACACTTCTTTATCTCCTTGAGTCTATGAGAAGAGTTAAGATATCTCCTTGAGTTAATGAGAAGAGTTAAGAAAAAAACTTGCTCTTGGAGATATTTATTGACCAATTCTTTATAGAGCACCCTTTGGTTGACTTGAAAATCAATTTCTTATTTCAATTCTTAATCCTATTTTCTAACATAGTATCTTTATATATTAAGAAAAAAAGTTGGATTTATCCTTAAAGCTCTTATCAATAGACATAAAATGAAAGGAGTTAATACTACATTTCACCCTTTGTTTAAGTAGGAAGGTGTTAAAATTATATGATACTTGTAAGGAAATTAAGTTACATGAGTGCTTGAATGAGCCCATTGAAATTAAATATCTCGAGGACTTGAGGAAAATGTTGTAGGGTTATAAAAGCAACGTTTATTATGGAGATTCAAGTTAAAAAACTTGCTAGCATTTAAATCTCAAATATTGAGATTGAGTTCCACCTCCAAGGTTTTCAAAACCATCTTCATTATGGAAGAAGAAAATTTTCGTTTGGATGTTCTGAAGAAGAATAAAGAAGAAGAAAGAGTCTTAAAAAACATTAAGAACTAGATAAACGTGAGAGTGCATATAAACATAAATAAGAAAAATAAAAAAAACTTTTGTCAGTAAAGTTATTTCTTTATAAAGAAGAAGAAAGAGTCTTAAAAAACATTAAGAGCTAGATAAACGTGAGAGTGCATATAAACGTAAATAAGAAAAATGAAAAAACTTTCGTCAGTAAAGTTATTTCTTCTGATTATTTCAATGCATATATTTTAAATTAGAAATTCTTCATAATATCTTTAAAAAAAAAAAAAAAAACTTGGAAAAGCTAGACAACACAACACCTTTGTTTTTG